CAGGACCAGCTCTCATCTCCTCCAACATGACTCTCATCATCGTCATATTCGCCATCCTGTTCGCCTCGAGGACTTCCTCAGTGGTCCTCCGGTTCGCTTCACGAACCTCAGCTGCGGCTATCCGGTTCGCCTCGCGAACAGCTTCCATCATTGTCGCGTTGGCCACTCTAGCGGCCTCCTGATCGGCTAACCTAGCCCCCTGCATCTCAGCCAATGCAGTCAGGATAGGATCAGGTTGATCCTCAGAAGTCTCTCGTGTTCTCCCGGACCTTACCATGACTCTGCACAAGTTACACAAATTATGAGTTGATCAGGCCCACGCAATGTGATCACATATACAGCATCATAATAAAATTCGACGGAGTAAACACAAAGACAGACACAACCAAACAACCTAGCAATTGCAATACATACAGGCTTTTCCCTCGAACCAGGCTCTGATACCATAAATGTAACACCCCGTATATATCCGGCAATGTTATCATAATATCGTATTAAGCTGCGCTTAATTAAAAATGCGGAATTACTTTTTCTTTTCAATTATGATGCCATTAACATTACCAACTTGCTTAATAATCAATTAATTAAACATCGCCTGTATGTAATTGCAATAGAACAGCTAATTGAAATACCTCATAACATAGATAATATAAGTGTGGCTCTAGTCATGGAACTACAACAATGTAGACCGGACCATCTAACAGTTTATACAACTCCAATCTAAAAAGTACTAACAGAGAGTGTCATGGACAATCCCCATGCTCACTCAAATAAGGAAACATGCCTAACATCAGTCTCAACAACAACATAATGATAAAAGGCATAAAACATAATCAGCATCCAAATCCAGTCATGCCAACACAAAGCAGTAAAACATAATCAGCTAAGCTCCGGCCTCCTACCGCCTGAGGCATCAGTACTCATACTACCTGATCCTGAAATAAGCATTCTCCAAAAGTGGGTAAGATCTCTAATCTAGAAATCTCAGTAAGTCAGTGAGTCCTCAAGGATCTTCCATCCCAAGCTCACTTACATGTGCAATATAAGTTCAAAAGCAGTTTATCATTTATCATTTCTAAAACAATGCAATGCATCAGATAATCATGTCATGTGTGTCAATACTAATCTACTGGCCAGAGACAGTGCAGGTATACGTCTATCACCTACACACCGTGCAAGTACCACTTGCATTCACCCCGGTACACCGTCTTGTATGACGCTACATACTCAGGCTTCCCGTCAAGATGAAACAACACATGCATATTAAAAGCCATTACATGTAAAGTTCAATCAACATATCAATTATCCAAAAGCATGTACACAGCATGCATAAACCATACCCCCAAGGGACATGGTGGAACCACAACATGGCTAAACCGAGGATACGAAAGCTTACCTTGCAAGCTAACTCCAAAAGCCAAGAGTCCACAGCTCAAAGTCCAAACACAGCAGATTCACAATCTGTTATGGACCAATACTATATCAATAAAAATGCAACACAAGCATATAACTTAAAGACAACGCCTTTCCTTACGTTTAACGTCTTGAGGCTCCATACCAAGCCATAAGCCCTTAATCACTTGATTCTGACTTAGTTTAATTAAAACAGAAGTTCAACTTCATCATTCTAGGGTCCACAAACCCCCAATAGCCTACTGTCCTCACAGCACAGCTACTGTTCTTCGAAATCCCAGAATATCCGAATATTCCTCGGGGCCATATCCGGATATGCAATATCCGGATATCTCACTGGACGTATCCGGATATGCAATATCCGAATATCCAGAATCTCATATCCGGATATCTAATATCCGGATACTCAAAACCCATATCCGGATATCACATATCCGGATATTCATCGGGCACATATCCGGATATTTCACGACAGAATGCAGAAAATGCATTTCGTGAAGATATCCATCCAAGGTTGGGTTTTTAACGATTTAAAGCACCTAAACATGCATTTCTAGGTGTGTTCAACATTACCCAACAACAAGTTATCATCTTTAAGCCTTAACATGCATCAAGCTTCCATTTTTAAGCACTAAACTCATGATCAAAGGTTGGTATACATACCAAAGGCCAAAACAGAAGAAGAGGTTGCTCTTTGGAGCTCACAATCAGCCCCTCAAGACTGACTCAACAAGGTGCACGAAAATGGATCAACAAGCTTGGACCTTTCAACACAAAGGAAGCTTCTTGGACCTCACAATGCCAAAACAAAGGCTCCCACAAACAACCAACCCAAATCAGTCTCAAAACCTCACACACAGCAGCTCTCTCAACTCAGAAAAGACCAGCAATGGAGTCCCAAAGCTAGCTCTCACCCTCACCAAGTGTCTCCCAAGTGAAAGTGTGAAGAAAAATCAAGAAAGGAAGTGTCTTGGACCCAAAATGGAAAAGAAACCCCACAAGTCAGCCAAGCTGATCAGCCACCCTCAACTTTCACGTTCAAAATCTGTTTTCTAGGGCATTATGCCCTTAGAAATGGGTATTTATAGCCCAAGCCACTTAAACACACAATATTAACTTTAATTGCTACGCTTAGCATTTTAATTCCAAACTTTGGATTCTGAAACAACATAATTTTCTAAGATTTATCATATTTTTCTTATAATTTTCTAAGCACTTTTCCGGTACGCACTTTTCCAAGTCAGTACCGGTTTCTAGCACCAGTTCTCATTATCTGGACTTGAAACTCGTTTTTCAAGTCCTACATATCATTCTAGTAATTATCATGCACTTATTATAATTTTTCGGGATACTTTTTCGGCACGCATTTATACCGACTAGCAGAACCAGTATCTGCACTTTTCTTCCGAAAAGTGACTTTCAGCATTATTACTCACTTACTATAATTATTAAAGCCTCATAATAATTATTAGGGTCAATTATGGAATTATTTCCTATTTTCTCATAATTTATTAATTAAATTCCTTAATTAACGGTGCAGGTTCTTACAATTTTCATGTATGGATCAAAGGATTTGGATGAGTATTTAGGGAGAAATCAAAGAAAGAAATTTGCAAACCCTAACCCCCTTTGGAGAAGAAGAACTCGAGTAGAAGAGAGAGAAGAGAGCAAATTCTGATGTGAATAGTGATTCTTTTAAGTCACTTATGGTTTATAAGCACATGGAGCTTTTTACTAGATATTTTTCTTTTGCGTATTTTCACTTAAACTGTCCCGGAACTAACTTAAAGCTACAAACATATTTTTATTTTTCTGAACTCATTTACATTAATTTTTATTTCCTAAGGAACAATATTCATAATTCTTAGTATGGTTTCTGCACCGTTTTTGACGAAATGCACTGTGAATCACTAACTGTACTTCGTTTACTTACGAAACTTAAAACGTATGAACTTATCATTCTTAGGCCTATTATGACTTGTATGACATATATTGGACTTTCTTATTCTTATTTTATCAAATATTTGCTTCTGGACTCTACCGGTTGCTTAAACAGCGGTACACAATACCCAGTAGAAATACTATTCACGAGATTTTCACGGAAAGTGCCAGACTATACAATTTTTCGTTCTGAACTCATATTTGGCGTCAGAATTGTCAAATTATGTCTCTAAAATCATTTTACTCATTTTTGCTCTACCGGTTAATTCACAAGTATGCAGATCATCCGGCAGAACGCACTGTTCATGACCTAGCCATGAATACAGTCAAAATACTCGAAATTCCGCTCTGACTCTAATTAGGGCATTTAAATCCTTCAATTAAATCTCTAATTAAGATTTACCATTTAGTGTCATTATACAAGTGACTTATTCGCACAAGATAATGTCACCAATGCAACATATTCAAGGTATACCTCCATTAATTCAACATGCATATACATCATCAATGACATCTATTTTCCAAGACTATACATACAAGACACCTACACTTAATTTTGGGTCCAATTTATCAAAGTGCATTAAATGGCGGTTTCATAATTTTTCCTTTTATAGGAACGAATTTCAAGCATGTTTAATAAAGAGACTCACATACAAATCACCCTCAAACTTCTCAAGCCATCAAAATTTTGAAATTGTCATATAGCCAAAAACTGATTTTCTATAGTGAGCTAAATGGTAATTTCTTTTGTTGTCTTTCATCAAGAAGCAACCATAAGCATATTTAACAAATGAAACCACATCCAAATCAAACTCTAGCTCATCTAACCATTAATTTTCAAATTTATTATTCATTGAAACATAGACTTTCAAAATTTCAAAGAAATGTGAGTTGGATAGTGAAAACTTACTATGAATCATCTTAGAATGCTAGGAGGAGCAAAATCCAAGCTCCAATGCACTCCAAAACTCCTCTAACACTAAAAATCCGAAAACCCACCTAACACTAAAAATCCGAAAACCCACCTAGACTTTGAAGACGAAAATCTCTTCCCACAATGCTCCTTACATGAAAATGAGGTTCGGCCTTTACGCTTGAGAAGATTCCAAGCAATTTTGCTTTTGGAATCACTTGATTTGGCTGTGTCTAGCTCAACTTAACGCTCAACTTAACAATTGCAAGCTCTCTTTCCCTATTTCATGGTGTCTTACGAGTCGGAGAAGAAACTAGGGGAGAGAGTGTGTGTTTTTTAGTGTTTTATGTGAGTTGTACTAATCAAGAGGGTATACATTTATCTATCCCGTTTACTTAACTCTTTTTCAAACTTGACACATTGACTTGGAATATTTTCCGAGTAATATTCATAATTTTACTTTCAAATTTCGAGTAACTTTGACTACCGACATTTTATTCCCTAACTGTCATTTTTAGCTTATTTTCACAAGGTGACTTTAATTCATCTAATTAGACTTTTCTTCTAATTAATTCTTCATTAATTATTATTATTTCTTAACAATTTGTAAATTTATAATTTACAGGTGGTGAAGCAATATTTTCTATGGCAAAACATAGCCTTCTTCAACCAATGAAGCAAGCACAAATAAACTCACGAGAGTCTTTATAGAATTTGGAAACACAAGCCTTCGTTCCTGGACCACTCTCTGTTTAGGACAATGTTACTAAATTTTTTTTTCGGGAACTGGCAATTATTTACAAAGAAAGGGGTTTGATATAAGTTTTAGAGACATTACTATATATATGTTCCACACATGTGGTATTTTTGAGATTGGAAGTTACTTCTATTGCCCTACCAGTTCTGGTTTTTCTTATCTTGCCTCCAATAATGAGTCAGAAATTTCATTGCGCGAATACTCTTCACAATTTCTTGAAGAAGAATCTGTTTGGGTTGGATGATCTCTTCCTGTGTAGAACCCAGGTTGACTTGGCTCTGGCAATAACTTCTCACCATTCAACATTAAAACCACAGATGACATGTTTGGCCTATCCTCTGGTATTTGTTGTACACATAACAAACCAATATGAATATATCTTAATATATCAGATGAACCGGTTGAATCTTCCACTAACTCATCCATAAGTTCAATTGGCCTTTCTTCAATCCATAGTCTCCATGCCTGAAAATGACATGAAACCCATAATAAACAAGCAAGATCATTTTCCATATTAGAAACTTCTCATAGTGTTATTATTAACTGGGCACGATCATTTTATATCGGTATAAATTACATTCTAAATCTTGGTTGTTGATAGTATTTATATCTAAAAGTTCTAATTTATTAGATATTTGATACGTTAGATGCAAGCAAATCAATGATTAAGATTTTATGTAAAATTTCTTATTCTTACCGGTGTAAGAATAACCTACCCTATTATTAAATTATATAGCGTAATTATTCTTCAAACCTACATGTCCAAGAAGATTAAGGTGACGATGTGGATCAGAAAATCCCCTGTTCTTCCTCCCACTAATTATCTCCAACACAATCACACCAAAGCTGAAGACATCAGATTTGACTGAAAAAGATCCATGCACAGCATATTCTGGAGGCATATAACCACTGCACAGCAAAACAAGACTCCACAATGAGAAATTAAAAGCTGTTAAAGAAGAAAAACATAAACAAACTCACAAATACTTACTATGTTCCCATCACTCTATTTGTATTTGCTTCATCTTGGTCTAGTTCAAATGTCCTAGCCATACCAAAATCTGATATTTTTGGATTCATATTACTATCAAGAAGAACGTTGCTGGTTTTTAGATCTCTGTGAATGATCTTTAGTCTAGAGTCTTCATGAAGATAAAGAAGTCCTCTAGCAATTCCACCAACAATTTCTAATCGCTTAGCCCAGCCTAATACTTTACGTCTTGTTGAATCTGAGAAAATTAACTTCCAAATAAGAATGACTCTGATAGTTAACATATGTTGGAAAGATTAGGTTCGAGTGATGAAAGTTCCAACCAAAAATAAAGTAGTCCAAGCTTCTATTGGGCATGAATTCATAAATCAACAACTTCTCTTCTTGCTGAATAGAACAACCAAGAAGCTTAACAAGATTGCGGTGTTGAAGTTTTGCAATCAACATGACTTCATTTTTGAACTCCTCCAAACCTTGTCCTGAACTTTTGGAAAGCCTCTTAACTGCAATCTCTTGCCCATCTGATAATATACCCTGACAGTAGTTTTGGAAACATTGGAATTAGTTTGATGAAGATGAATTACTGGGTTAATTATAATTTTAATACCTTGTACACTGGTCCAAAGCCACCTTGTCCCAATTTGTTAATATGTGAAAATTGATTTGTGGCATTAGAAATGGTTAAAAAATCGAACATTGGTAAATCAATGTCACCCTTCTGACTCTTGTCCATCCTGTTAATTGTCTCTGCAATCCATGGATTGTGTGTGATTAACAAATTATCAATAAAAAAATAAAAATAGAAGAGTTTTTTCTGTAATTTGAAACAAGAATCAAAATACAGAAATGAAGATTAGTTACTATTGAATTCTATTAAGGACTTTTTTACTGTAAAATATACTAAAGCATCAACATTTACTGTCCATGAATTCACCTTGCTGCGTGAGTTTCTTCTTCCTAATGCATAATATCACTCCAAATACTGTAATGCCAATGATGAACACAGTACAGCCAACCACTATTCCTACTAGTTTCTTCTTGTTGACGCGGTGATCTGAAAGATTAAGAACATAATCAACTGATACACAAGCACGTTGGAGCACTAACAAAAAATACAAAAGATAAATAAAGAAAAAAGAAAAAAACGAAATTATAGAACATTTGGTAGAAATTCTTCACCTTGGAATTGGAAACTAAATAAAAAGTCAATGTTTTCTTGTAGAATTATACAAGAGAAGACAGCCAATTTAGAAATAAATTCATTCAGAAATAAATTCAGGGCAGTCAATGATAAATGAAGCAAAATATGAAAAAAAGAGTCAACACCTAATAAACATCACCTTCTTAGTTTAAGTAATAAACAATGTTATTTGATACAAATGGCTTTCTTGTGAGAAGTGTTGCAAATCATCTTTAACAAATCAGGACGGAGATAGGTATACACAGCCGTGTGAAAGAAATTTTATACTTTCTTATATGTCTCACAAAAGTTGTTTCTTAATTTTAGGCATTTTCCTTAAGTAATAAGCCTATATAAGCACTAGATCCAAAAAGACAAAACTTGAAATGGAAAAGCAATAGATTGCACAAAAAGAGAATGGAAAAGTAAACAATACCTATCTGTGAAGGTGCAGTCACTCGTAAGTAAAAATCTTGTCCTCCCAGAGGGAGTTTCCTCATGTCAACAACATCAGAAAACCAATGCAAACAGCCACTTACCATGCCACTAACATTCAATTTAGCATATCCAGTGCAAGAGCAGTTGCTCAAACATAATCTCTCACATTCCTTTAAAGTAATGGTCTTATCATACCACGATGAAGATGTGTCTGGCAATTTCATTCCCTCGTACGTATAAAAACTATCTCCTTTATTACAGTCCAGTGGGGTAGTTCTAACACAACCACCAAACTTACCTGCTGAATCTGTAGATTTGGCTTTGAATCCTGTCAAGCATTCACAGGGTTGAGTGTTGCTGGCGTTGCAATTAGTATTTGTACCACACAAGGCATAATTTGTACACTGATCAAACGGGCCAGGTTGTTGTTGGTCCCAACTTTGTTTCTGATATGACCAAGTGAAACGTATTTGATAGCCAAATGGAGTCAATCTGCTTCTCATGATAACTGAACTATTTAGGAGTTCAATCTCATAAAAGACTTCCTCTCTATTTGTCACAAAAAGATATTTAAAATTTTTGTCAGTTATTAGATCTGGGGTTCCTGTAATACTAAGACCATTCCATGACCCTGATCTATAAACTACTGTACCCTCCTTTGTTATAACTATTTGAGGAAGCCCATGAGTGTCAATATGAAATGAATAATCACCTGGAGTAGGATCTTCCAGAGATTTCCAAGATTTCAGAGCCCAATACTGACCTGTTTTTAAGTTGCTTCCAATTTTCATTCCTGGGAGAAGAGTGTCACTAGGATAATCAAAACTTTGCCATAAAATCCCCTCCAAGTTATGTCCATTTTTCACAACTAAGTTTCCTGATTCCAACAGCTGAACCACAATTGGTTTCTTTGCTGTCTTTGATGCATTTGAGGACCAGATTTTGGCTCCTGTACCATCCATAATACTAAGAATTCCTTGATCACTGTCTAATCCCAAAACTCCTGAGTAGTCATTGAGTGGTGTTTCTCTGTTGGCTACCCATACAACTGTTATTGGAGAAACTTTGTACCATATTCCAACATAACGGCTTTTTGAATTTTCAGGGCTGAAGAATCCTGCTTCAAAGGTTCCATTTGTAGAAACCAAGGTTTCATTCTTACCGTCTTGGATGTGTTGGCTTGGAGTTATCATGTCCACTGCGGAGGACATGCTTACGAAGGAGAGAAACAAAGAGTACATAACGGAACTTTTAAAGCTTTCCATTGATTTTGGTACGGTTTTGTGTGGTGTATGTAAGAGGGTATTTTCTTTCTTAAAAACAAGTGGTTGGTCTGATTTTAGTGCTAGGTAATGCAAACCCAGAGGAAATAGAAAAACACCTCCAAGCTTAGCTACATGTTCAGGAATATTCAAAAGCTAATGAATGAGTTGGTTTGTAGTTTGGAATTCACATTATGATGCACTATAAGTAGAGGAAGCAAAATAACTACTTTGACAGCAATATTTATATGCTGAGAATGACTCTAATGACCGCAGAGTCTTAATGGTTAAAAATTCTCAACTTCGCTGATTTTTCTACGGAAGTTTTGGCACCTGAAATATGACTAAGCTCATGAACCTCACTACATTAACGCTCGAAGAGCATGCACTCATGTGCATATTCTGGTAAGTGTGTGTGAACTGTGATGTATCACCAAAAGTATATTAATAAGTGAGGTCTAGAAATTGAACTAATGCCATATATTCCCCTTGTATTTCTCCATGAGCTAAACACGTTTAATTGCGCAAATTGCTTATGCATTACTTTTTCTTATAATTAATGTTTAAAATCATATTTTATCTTTAAATTTCTTAATGAAAATAGTGTATATTTAATTGCTTCACATAATCTATAGGAACACGACTTCAAGATTTACACAACGAAATGTAAAGAAATATTAATTCAATTTCTGCAAATAACAATTTGTAATTTAACTATAGGTTTGCCAAAATCTTCTTTACTAACCATAAGTTACATGTAAAGGATAAATTCTTACTTGGTTTAATTTTTTTAATCATAAGATTAATTTGACTATAGTGATTCAATTACTTAATATGTCCCACGTTTGGTTTTAATTAGATAGAATGATGTATCAGTATCACTCTTCATATGAACTTTTCCATATAAATAAATAAAATGCAGGAGTGGATACAAGTAATAATTACAAAAGCTGAACGTTAGGGTCCCAATATTGATTTTTGGCAGAGAAGCATTAAATGTGGATCACTGCCTATAAAAGTACAGTCTATTGAGTTATTTGAGTCAAATTTCGAAATATTTTACCTGATAAATATAATTAAAATATTTTATCAAAATAATACATACATGAGATTGTGCACGTTTATAAGCAAATGAGTATCATCGCATGACAAAACATATATAGCGTTCAAATTGCACATAAAGTGAGTGTGCAACTAATATTAACCCCCTTTGAAGCGTGCACTATTTGACAAATGCTTATTTACCTTGAGGATAAAATCTTTAATTTTCCATTATATAGCGTTCTTTCTGTTTGTTATATTTAATTTAATCGGCTACTAAATGATAATTACGGTCCATACTGTCTTGCTGTGGAGCAAATTATTCTCTCCTAAAATTTTGGTCAATGTTATAACACGAAAGCGAGTCAATCTTATTCCATTTTGTTTCATTTTCATTTCTTTAATGTTTTCATTTTTTAACTATTTTATTTATTTATTTATTTATTTATTGGTGGCTAGAAATGAGCACAAAATACAAATCAAAGATGATGTTCCCATAATTTATTTATGGGATTAGTATATTTTTAGTAGATAAATTTTTTACACATATAAAAGTGTACGAGATTCATTTTTTTTCCCTTCATATGATCTCAAATGATTTTCACACACTTTTATGTGTGTATAGGAAGAATTATTTTGATGACCGGGAGCATCAAAATTTGGTGCTTTTCGGACAAAAATTTGAAGTATTGTTCCACTTTTACCCGTTGTTTGTTTTGTATATTTTATCCTAAGTCCAAAGATTTTGTCGGAGGACATCGAATTTTGATACTCTCGAAGCCACAAAATAAATTTTGTATATAAAAAATAAAATTATTTTCTACGATATCAGAAACATTAATTCTTTTATTTATATGTTACGTGACATTTGGTAGAGAAATTTTTTTTTTTTATTCAAAATTCTATTTATTTATGTTTGATATGAAGATTGTGAAAAATTTTATGAAAAAATTAAATTTCCAGAAATTTATTTTATATTCTTGGATTATGGGAGGGAAAAATGTGTATAATTTTAAATGATGTAAAGTTCTGTCAATTTAAGTGAGAGAAAGAGATAGATAAAAGAGGAGAGAGAGTGGACAGAAAAATATAAAGGTGTGAGTCACATCTCCTTGTGAGAGTGAAATATAAAAAATAAGTTATGTCATTTAGAAGGACAAACATTTTTTCTTTATCGGGAGGTGGAAAAATTCACTCAATTAATTCTTTGGACAAAAGTACCTCTAGTCTCTTCGTTCCAAATTTTCCAAATTCTTTGTTGCTCTCTTCGCCCCTACTTCACGCTGCCGATAGTAGCCTCTGCTTCACGGTGCTTCTCTTCACAAGGCCAATCACGTTTCCGAGAATAACCATAAAATCAAAATTTTTGAGTGAAAACATGACCCAATGGAAAAATCTTGATGGGTTTTGTAAAAAACTTGGGATACACCACCCTAAAAGTTAGCTCAAAGGGTGAGAGCGTCCAAGACCTTATAAACTCCACATTAGTTGGCACATACAACTAATGTGGGAGTATATATCTCAACACGCCCCCTCACACGAGAGCCCATTGGGCTTGAATAGTGGACAATGCAACAGACCCAGCCTACCTGTGCTAAGAAACGCCACAAGAGAAAGTGAGGGGCGGCGAAGCTCTAATACCATGTAAAGAACCTTGGGATACACCACCCTAAAAGTTAGCTCAAAGGGTGAGAGTGTCCAAGACCTTATAAACTCTACATTAGTTGACAGATACAATCAATGTGGGACTATATATCTCAACATGTTTCAATGGCATTGTTGGCGCCGTCTCTCTCGCACACACACTATTGCTTTTAGGTTTTGCTTTTCTAAGATTGTGGAAGTGGGTTCTATCCTATGTCCTGAGCTAAGGGATTAGGAAGGGAGAGAGAAAGAAAGACCATAAAGAGAGAGTAATTTGAGAGGGGAGATATTCTCACTATCAAATTTTTTCACTACTAACTTATTACTTATTTACTCATCATTAGATTAATATTTTCTCTTTTTTTTCAAACACTTTTTAACATTCTTTCTCTTTGATCCAATGATGATGTGATGAGTAATAAGTTAGTAAGGAGAATTTTTAGTAATTAAAATATCTCTACTCAAAATTTGAAATGGTAGTTTTGTAAAATTAACCCTTTTTTGAGTAATAATTGACAATTAATTAAAAAATCAGAAAATTTGAGCCAAAATTTCCGAGAATATTTTACAATATTTTAGTAACTTTTCTAGATATTTTTTTTTCTCAATATATTTCTAATATTCGTGATTGTCAGATATAAATTTTTTTTTATAGAAAGAGTCAATTTCCTTCTTGACCCGGCGCCTTTTGAAGTCTCTGTTCTATCTCAACGTTGACATTTCTACACTAGAGTAGAATTCATGGTAGACGACTTAGTCTCTACGTATTATTTCATTTTAGAAGAAAATATAGAAAGATAAAAGGTTGCTCAATTTCACAACATTAACTTGAAATGATGTGTCTGTTTATGTGGTCGTACACGTGTAGACATCATTGGCATTACTTTTATATAAAAAAAGTATAAGGTCAAAGGGTTATTAAAAATTGAGAGTTACCAATAACTTCTAATATCACGGGTTTATTTAATACTTTCTTAATAAATGGGTTGTGAAAAGGTATGCCAATTACATGTTATGTTTGTTAGTTCATCTTAATTTTTATTTATTATTATTACATGTTATATTTGTATCATTTTAAGTGAGAGAAAGAGATAGATCATGAAAAAGAGAGTGGACAAAAAATATTAAAAATGTGGGTTCCACCTTTTTGTGAGAGTGAAATGACACATGTCATTTAAAAGGCATTTTTCCCATATGTGAATTATAAATGAATGAAGTATTTGGTGACCACAAAAAAAAATTGCAAATAGAAGAGATAATTAAAAAATTAATTAATCAATAAAGTAAAGATGAAAAATTGAAATAAAGTTGGAGTAATAATATTAAAATTAATTTTAGACCATTGGTTTCATTAAGAAAGATAAACGGGTATTTAAGAAAAAAATTAAATAAAGTTAATTAAATATGATTCTTAGGGCCCGTTTAGATGTGCTTTTTCTCTCTTCAAAAATTACTTTTTAAAACAAAAAAAGCAATTCTCACTTTAAGTTTGTTTGGATGTCTGCTTTTAAAAAAAGCAGAAGTCACAAAAAAGCTAAAAATATTTCTTTTTTAGAAGTTAAAAATTTTAACTTCTAAAAAAATAGAAATTAAAAGCAAAATATTTTTTTCAAAAATTAAATATTTTTATAAAAATATAAATAGCTTTAACTTTTGTAAAAAAATACTTCTAAAATAAAGAAGAGATGAAAGCTACTTTTTTTTGAAACTCAAACAAACAAGCTCTTACTATGTCAGGTCTTGAGCAACTTGCTAGCATGCTGGAATTCTTATGTGACTGACTTATCACAAGGCCTAATGTATGTGTCAATTTGATGTATTGTATCATGTTAATCTATTATCTATGCACAAAAAACTTGACTTATATTCAATAAATGCCATTAATAATTCTATAATAGTATATTACTCTAACCAGTATTAATGAAGAATTAATTAGAGGAGAAGTCTAATTAGATAAGTTAAAGCCACATTGTAAAAAATAGTTAAAAATGACATTTAAGGGATAAAAATGCGGGTCGTCAAAGTTATCCGAAAGTAAAAGTAAAATGGTAAATATTACCATAAAAATATTATAAATCTAGGTGTCAAGTTAGATATAGAGTTAACTGAGTGGGATGGATAAGTTTATTCTCACTTGGTTATTTGAGCTCACTTAAAATGCCAAAACATTTCCATTTCTCCTCATTCTCTTCTCTCATCCGTCAACAGAGCCCCCTCCCCCATTACAAAGAAGCTTAAAAATTTCCAAAAAAACATAGAGAGAGTTAGAGACCTCCAAATCACTTCGTTCCAAAGCCAAAAGTGTGTCAAATCATCTCCTCTTCAAAGCCAAACCGTCATTTTCAAGTGGAGTGAGATATTCCTCCTTAAAAGCTTAGGTCGAAAATGGTGTTTGAGGATTTTGAGAGAGTTTGAGCTCATTGGTGCTTGGGAAAGCTTCCTCCAAGGATCCTTGTAGGATTTG